CGGCTGCGGCGTTGCTGGCGTCGGGCGGCCCCGCTGTGCACGGCCTGGCCCTGCTTCGGGAGAGCGGGGACGGGAGGGGGGGGCCCTCCCGCCGCGATTTCTCCTTTTAATGGCTTCCCCCTCCCCCTTCTCCCCAGTCAACTTAAAGCTTTTGTAAGAATTCCTCCTGTGAAGATTGTCCCTTACGGCGAACTAAAGCTTTTACCTATTAGCCAGAAGTACTTGTCGGCGATCATTTTGTCAGCAGCAGTAACAAGCGTAGCTGTCAGTGCTGCCACAGAAACAGGGTTTGACTTTACGGTAGTCAACCCGCACGCTTGCTCGAGTCCCCTCAGTAAGTGATGCTGTTTGTTGAGAGGTTTCACCGTGATCGCTTCCTGCAAATGTTCTAAATATTTCCTATTGTAGAATATGTTACATAATGCATATGTTATATAATTTTAATTACTGCGAGGTAAATATAGAAGGCAGCAAGTGAGGCAGCAAATTCAGTTATCTGTAAGATGGGCTGTACTGATAACAGCAAGCACTGTGCCGTCGTGGGGCTTGGTCATAGGAATATAGCAGTAAGCTCATTTGTAGGATACTTTTCCAAAGCCTGCTTTAGAAGGAAGAGCTGTAGGAAGAACACAGTGCCTCCCCAAAAGCTTTGTCCAAAATTTTAATGCATGACAACAAAAATATTTTAATTAATTTTTACTGGCTTGAGTCAGATTCCAGGTGATCCCAGGAACAAGTCAGTGAGAAGATGGAATTGCTTTGTCCATGTTAGATGTGGGAAACAGCATTGTGTTCTCCTTGTTGCTGACTCCAAACGAGCGTTGCTGTCTGTACTGGGAAGTCCACGGGGAAGCAGTAGAAAGGATTGAGTGGTTTAGGTGAGGGTGGGAATTTGTTGTAAAAAACCAAACCAAAAAAACCCCTGAAGCAGGAAGGGAGGTTTGCTGACTTCTCTCCAGGGCTATAGATTTGCTGAGCAACAGCATTTACCATGGATAAATTGGTGGCTGTGGATGCAGGCTGAGCACATGTGTGTTGATTTAAAGGAGTCATTCCAGTGAAAACTCCATCGTGGGTCAAATGCTGTGTTGGGAACACCCTAGGAGCTCATACAGTTCGGGTGGTGGTGGCGAATTAATTCAGTGTGTGTAAATTTAAAAATAAATAAACCAAAAGAGGACATGCAAGCTTAATGATTTTATTCACACAGGCATGATACATTAAATAGTAATACAGAATACATTTTCTCACATCCCTGAATGCACAACAGCTGTCTGCTGTATCAAATATTTTTCCTTTAAGTGGTGGGTGGAACGCAGTTCATGAAGGCTGTGGAAAGAGCGTATGACTGTGATTATTTTCAGTGGTTTGTGCTCAAGAGATTTGGTTTTTATATTCCTCTTAATTTTTTTATGTCCTGTAGGTAATTCTTCATTTTCATGTTGAAGCATGTGGAAGAATGTTGCCATCGCCATCTGGCAACTAGCAATTCCCTGATTGCTCTGGTTGGTAGCTGACCATATTGATGTTGGTAGCTCAGCTGTCAGGGCTGTTACCGTGAAGATTTACAGTTGTGTTATATGCTCTGTCAGAGTCTGGAGTTCACTGATGACTTCATGTGTGTGGGTTTTACCTGCCTGTTACTTGCACTACTCCATGAAAGACCTAAGAGTTCTCTAAGGAAGGGGGTTTTGTCCACAAGCATAATACATTCATTTATCTCAATGGAAAAAGCACCCATGATAATGCAATTGGGCAACCATCTTCAGGACTTCAACCCTGACTGCTGGAGTTCTTGCTCACAAAATCACTAGCAAAATGATTAGTGTTTATGGTTGCTCCTATATTTCTGTGCTATCCATCTGATCTGTTGCTTCCCCGCTAGTGAAGGCCTTTTATTTTTATAGAAGTGAAAGAAAAAAGGGTGTAACAGTAACGTTCCAGCCTTCTATGTAATGTACAAGGAAGGTACCGATGTGTCACAGCAAAACTGGAAGGTTTTAATTTTTGTATGATTTGTGTAGCATGTTTGCCGTCTTTGCCCATTTGTAAGGAAAGAACTGTAGCTAGGGATTGAAGCAGGAATGAAACTGGAAGTATTTTCTTTGTTGCAATTGTCTGAACCAGGTTTCAGATACCTATTTCTTCAGATGTTTTAAAATGTTTTACTTGGTCATATTTTCTCATAAAGATCTCTGAATAGCTAAAAGCAGACAGTTTGTTTGGGTTGGGCTTTTTGAGTTTGTTTTTTTTTAATGTTGACCACATTGTTTTCTGTTTCATTTTCTGTGTATGACTATGACAGGATAAGTATATGTGATGCATGTTTTTTTTTTTTAAACTCCTATCTTTGCAGTGAACAGGAAGAACTTATAGGGAGTGGCAGAGATGAATGGGTACTAAGTAAGTAGCAGCTTCAGAAAGGGGTTGGAGAACAGGTGAAAGATAGTATGGCATGGACACAGAATATCGTGCCTTGCTGTTGCGAGTGCACATGTTAATTCTGATCAGTCTTAAATGAAGAGTGATCAGTGTTAACTGAATAGGTTAAAGGTTCTAAATCTGACCAATGTGGCGGATGATGTGTCCGGGAAACATTAGGTTAAATCTCATTTTAGAATTTCATTGTAATGCAGGATGTGATAGTTACTGACCTCTTTCACAACAGTTTTGGTCAAACTACGTGCGTGAGTTGCTTCGGAAATTTCTGAAATGGCCAACTCATTACAGTTTTGCCTCCCCAGAGCAATCTCCTTTAGGCCAGACTCATGGTATATTTTGGGCCAAAACATACCTTCCCTGAGGCCTTAGGTACCTGCTAAGTTGTCTGGCATGATTTCTGGAAACTTCATTTATATTCTGGTCATTTTTCTACAGGTGCCTGGAAATAAAGTTTTTCAAAGAGGACAGTCAACCCATAGAGATGTGATCAGCAGTAGAATGGCTGCTATGACGTGACTTTTGGTAGTGAGCGTGCTTACTGCCAGCTTCTGCGTGACAAAGTGACACGACGTTGAGGACCAAATGGAATATCTTACGGTATTTTATCTTTAAACCTTATGTCATGGATTATGTGGATATATCATCTTCCACTCAAAGTTTCTAGCTGCAAATAAAACCTTACGAATGTGAACTTCAAAGCCTTAGGTCAGAGGACAAATAAAAAGTATTGTGTTTTGAAATGAAGTTTTAACTTTAATACAATTACGCATCAGTACAAATAATTGTTAGCATTATTGCTTCTACCTCCTTTCGATTTAGTTTTCTAATCAATGCTTATCAGTATTGCAGCTGGAGTAAGTGGTACTAAGTACCAATATTGGTTAAAAAGTAACGCTTCAAGAGAGACAACTATATTTTCACAGTATGTAGGTGGGGGATCTTCCTTGTAACTAAAGTACATTAAAGGCCATTCCTCATGAAATGTATAATGATCTCTGTCACTGGGTGCTTTTCTCTAAAATGAAGTATTATTTGTACATCAAAAGGGAAAAGTACATGTTTATGTCCCTCGGGGCACGGGGAATGGAAGTAATTCTGTTGATATTTTAATACAAATTGCTTCCTGCATTTCCAAGTGGCAAATATATGAATATTCATAGAATCACAAGGCCAGATGATCATCCAATACATGGTGTATACAGGAGAAAAACAGAGGAGAACATTTTAAGGCTCCAGAGTCTCCAGTTTGTTTTTGCCTGGGGGTGGTAAGTCTGGTATCACCCTCCCTTTCCTGTGTAAGATGTCATGGTGGGGACCTGGGGGTGGGAAGGGCTGGGCATGGGGCTGGAGAGCCCTCTCGGCAGCCTGCTGCTTACCACAGCCGGGGGGCTGCCAGGCAGCAGCCTGTGAGGGATGAACGCTTCTCCACACAGGGTGCCTTTCCTCGCTACATTTACTATCTCCCTGGAGCGTTTCAGGTTCTCCAGGATTTTAAGGATCCTTTTCCATTGTCCCTGTGTTTTCTAAGTCCCCTTGCTCCAAAAGAACCGTGTGCCAGCAGCTGCAGAGATTGTAATTTTTAATTTTCACTTTCAGAAGGAAGGGTAGGTAGCCCTCGGTAGCTGGGATCAGGAAAGAGCAGGCCCAGGTCCAGGTGGTGGCAAGTAGGTGCCACCTGGGGGCTCTGCAGGCCTGCGTGGCAGGACCCAAATGAGGGCGCGGGTTCTTCACATGCTGGTCCCCGTTCCCGACGGGCAACCGTTGGGCTGATTCACATTCGGCGTCGCCCGTTTCGGAGAACCGCAGAGTTTATTTGAATGCGCGTTCTTGCGTTAACGTACCTACCTTTACGCTTTGACGCGTTACGGTTTTAACTGTATGTGTTTAAGAGGAAGCTGCTCGTGAACGTTTTGAACTTGGTGTAATCCATATGCAATTTTATTTTGCAAAGTGAGGCTGTATATGGAGATATTAAAAGTACTTAGGCGTATTTTAGGGTAGGCGAGTCCAGGGCGAGTGTGGTAAAGGCGTTTTGGGTCCGGGGGGCCCCGGCCGCTGCCGTCAGTGCCACAGGTCGAGGTTCGTGCTGGCGGCTTGGGCGCGTTGGGGGGGGCTCCGTCCCCGAGCGGTGCGCGTTTCTGCGGGAGCCCGTGGCGGTGCCCCTAAGCGGGCCGGGG